AAGGAAACAGAAAATCAAAACCAGAAGGTATCTCCTAAAGTGAAGCATAAAACAAGGCACTAAGCAACAACTATTGACTCTTTCAAACACAAAATAAAAGCATGAATAATTCTGACTAATTTATTTTTGCATTACGGTAACACATTCCCCCTTAATGCAAAAAATCTACAACACCTAACTTATTTCTAAAATAAGCAAACTTTTCTAGAGGAAGTGACTTTGTGAATATATCAGCAACTTGCTCATTTGAATTGCAATACTCCAATTTAATACTTCCTTCAGCTACCAGCTCTCTTATAAAATGATGGCGAGTGTCTATATGTCTTGTTCGGTTGTGGTGAATTGGATTCTTTGCTATCGCAATGGTGGATTGATTATCACAATAGATGGTTGTTACCTCCTTTTGCTCATGTTTCATATCTTTTAAAATTCTCCTTAACCAAATTGCTTGGCAAGCTACTGAAGTAACAGCCATGTACTCAACTTCAGATGACGCTAGAGCAATGGATGGCTGCTTCTTTGAACACCAAGATATGACATTTGATCCAAGCATAAATAGATAACCTGTAGTGCTTTTGTGATCATCTATGGAACCTGCCCAGTCGCTATCAAAAAAGCTACACAGCTCAAAGTTATTAATGTCAGAGTAGAAAATACCATAGGAGCATGTTCCTTTCAAATATCTTAGCACCCTCTTTGCAGCACCATAATGAATTTTGCTTGGATTCTGCATAAACCGTGATAAGAGACTAGTAGCTTGCAAGCTGTCTAGACGACTGTTTGAAAGATAGAGAAGACTCCCCACCAAACTTCGATACACCAGCAAATCTGCCTTCTCTTCTCCATCATCCAAACTGTACTTATGATTGGTAGCCATTGGAGTTTTAACTGCATTGCAATTTTTCATGTTAAATTTCTCAAGAAGATCTTTCACATATTTTTGTTGTGAAAGAAAAATTCTTGCATCCCCTTGTTTTACCTCCCAACCCAAAAAATAACTCATTAAACCCAGATCAATCGTTTCAAATTCAGCTACTATAATCCTCTTGAAATCATTAATTAAAATAGCACTATTTCCAGTATAGATCAAATCATCCACATAAAGACATATAATCAGTACCTCTTTAGTTCCCTTAGTTTTTACATACATAGTATGCTCACTTATACTCTTTTGAAATTCATTTTTGATAAAGTGCCCGTCAATCCTTTCATACTAGGCCCTTGGTGCTTGCTTGAGACCGTAGAGTGCTTTCTTTAATTGATACACTTTTATCTCTTCACCCGCAACTTCATAACCTCTAGGCTGCTGTACATATACTTCTTCCTCTAATAAACCATTCAAAAAGGCTGATTTGACGTCAAATTGATAAACATGCCATTTGTAGTGAGCAGCAACTGATAAAACCGTTCAGATAGTATCAAACCTGGCTATTGGGGAGAAGGTTTCTTCGAAATAAATGCCTTCTCATTGCATATAACCACGTGCAACTAACTTTGCTTTGTATTTTTGAACTGATCCATCAGGTTTGTACTTAAGCTTGTATACCCATTTTAGCCCCACAACTTTTTTTCCCACTGGCAACTCAACAAGTTTCCATGTCTTTTTTTTTCTAATGCCTTCATCTCCTCATCCATTGCATTACACCATTTGTTGTCTTTTACAGCTTTTTCTAAACTACTTGGCTCTTCTAGTAGTGCAAGCTGACACATTTCAGTTTGTTCATAAATCTCCTGCAATGATCTCCATTTTCGCGGGGGTATGCTTGAGGAAGAAGAGTTTGGTGATGTTGAATTGGAAGGACTGGAAGTGTTTGTACTAGGTGTTGAGGGACTAGTACCGGGTGTTGAAAGACCCAAATCACCATGGTCACCACCATCTTCTATACACTCTAATGGTTCGGCAACAAATTCACCATCATCTTGAATAAGACCAGAACATGTCTGTAACTCAGTCCAATTCCATGCAGTTTTCTCATCAAACACAACATCACGACTTATTAGCAATTTCTTAGAAATAGGATTATAAAATCGATATCTTTTAGTTTCCATGTTAAAGCCCACAAATATGCATCTCACACTATTATCATCTAGCTTTTCTCTTTTTTTTTAAATGGCACATGCACATAACCAACACAACCGAAAATTTTAAAGTGTGTTGCTTTTGGCTTCCACCCATGCCAGGCTTCAAAAGGTGTCTGATTGGACAATGCAGATGTAGGACTTCGATTGAGGATGTAAGCAGCAGTATGAATGGCTTCTGCCCAAAAAATCTTTGGAAGACATTTAGCTTTTTAACATGCTTTTAGCCATTTCTACAAGACTTCGATTCTTTCTCTCTGCTACTCCATTTTGTTGCGGGGTGTAACTAGCAGTTAATTGTCTTTGTATTCCCTTCTTCACACAAATTGTCAAATTCCTTCGAGACAAATTCACCTCCATGATCTGTCCGCATTATCTTTATCGCATGTCCACTTTGCTTTTCAATGGAAAACCTAAACTTTTTGAAGATTGGTAGCACCTCTGATTTTTCCTTAAGAAAGAAAAACCCAAGTCATTCTACTGTAATCATCCACAAAGATAACAAAGTACCTGTTGTTGTTAAGAGAAAAGGTTCGCATAGGTCCACAAACATCTACATGTATTAATTCAACTGGTCGTAAAGCTCTCATGCTTTTCCCTTTTGGAAACGAGTCTCTATGTTGTTTCCCAATCACACAACTTTCACACACATCAGTAACATGCTTTATCATAGGCAAACCATGCACCAAATTACGTTTAGACAACAAGCCTAGACTTATAAAATTCATATGTTCGTACCTATGATGCCACAACCAGTTGTCATCTTTTAATGAGGCTGAGAGTGCTTTCTTTTCATCATCAAGAGTGAGAGGAAGCAAATTATTCTTGGCCATAGGAACTCTGAACAACATGTTCTTCTTTGTCTTGTCTGAAAAAATAGAACATGAAAAATCTTCGAAGAGAAGTGAGTAACCTTCTTTTAAAAATTGTCCAACACTTAGCAAGTTTGAATCTAGGTCGGGGACATAGAGAACATCTCTAATACAGCTGGTTTCACAAGAATAAATCTTTACTTTACCACTTCCTTGTGCTTCACGAATCGTTCCATCACCCATTTTTACTCTATTCTTTATTGATCTGTCCAAACTGATGAAAGCCTCCAAGTTTGCTGTCATATGATGGCTGCACCCACTATCCATGTACCAAACATCTGAATCACAAAGTTTAGCAGCATAGCAAACTTTCACATTTCTCTTTGTGTTCTTGCTCAACAAACTTTGCTTCATTTTCTTTCAAATTACAAAACTTTTCTATATGGCCATACTTGTTACAATAATAGCATCGAAACTTTCGACTGTTAGCATTACCTTTATTTCTGGTTGTATTATGCTACTGGTTATGGCTCATTACTTGTGCACCTCCTCTGTAGCCTCATCCACCTCTTTTTGTTCAAAAGGAATAGCCTCCATGACCTATGTTGCTTTTGCGTTCTTGCAATGTGTCATTGTCCCTGGACAAGTGCAATTTGGCATGGAATGACTTCTCAACATTGCTTTCTTCATCACTTCTCTGTCTATCTTCATGAGATTGTAGAGAACCCAGCAACTCATTAATTGTGAGCACAGTTAGGTCCTTAGATTCTTCTATGGCAACCACTGCAGACTCATATTTTCTTGGTAAGCTCCTCAAAATTTTCTCAACGACCTTTTGATCAGATAGTTCTTCACCATATTTCCTAATTTTATTCACTACTTCCATCAAATTGTTAAAGTAGTCATCCATAGAATCTGTATCTTTCATGAAGGAGCTTTCAAATTTCCTACGAAGTGTCTGAAATTTGACGGTAACCACCTTGGCAGTTCCTTGGTAGCTATTCTTGAGTGCATCCCATGCTTCCTTTGATTTCGTTACAGCTGAAATTCGAGGGAAGATCGCCTCATCTACTGCTTGTTGGATGAAAAAGAGAGCTTTGGCATCTGTCTTTTGAACATCTTTTAAAGATTCAGCTGGCGCACCTTCTTCAACATAACCTCACTCTATCAATTCCCATGGATCTTGGGAGATGAACAAAGTTTTCATCTTTGTGCTCCAAACTTCATATCCACTGCCTTTAAAAAACATGATTGATGGCAAGGTAGGATTAATCCCAGCATTGTTGTGTGCCATAATAACATGGACCTTCTCAAGCTAGAGACCTGGCTCTGATACCAGATGTTAAAAACAGAGACTGAGAAGCAAGAAAATCAGAAATTACTCTAAGAGGAATTAAATCAAACGAATGGAAGGCACAAAGATGTAGGAAGTTTCTGCACTGCGTTTTTATTCAGCTGGGAGCCTTTATATACACACAGGAAAATAACACTTCCAATGTCCAAGGAAACAGAAAACCAAAGCCAGAAGATATCTCCTAAAGTGATGCATAAAACAAGGCACTAAGCAACAACTATTGACTCTTTCAAACACAAAATAAGAGCGTGAATAATTCTGACTAATTTATTTTTGCATTACGGTAACAATCAGCAACTAAATTAGACATGTAAATGATTTCGTAATCTTTAAATCTTAAACATGTAATGTAAATAGATTTGTGCCACATTATATGAGGATTCTTGATAATGTGAGGCACAAATATGTTTCGTATGACTGGACACAATATGAACGTAGCAGATATTTAAAGTCGTGTTAAAAGTTTCCAAGTGTTTGGTAAAAGTCCCCGACGGCATTACCATTAGTCGTGGATAATTGAATTGCTGACAGATTTGCAAATGATGTGCTGAAGCTAATATATGATTATTCATTTATTAAAGCCATAAAAAGATATTGTTTTATAACTAGAATAATAATATCAAAATGAAAAGTTTATTGTGCTGTTGTATTGAGTGCAAGAAGTTCTCTTCTACTTGTTCTTCGTAGGATCATTCCATAAGAACGAGAAATACTATTTTATGTATATTACTTTTTGAAGAGTCAATTTCTTTAATATGGACGTATTGACTGACATGCGAGTCATTTTATCTGTGTTCTTAACAAAATTTTATTACCTTTAAGGTTGACACCAAAAAATAGTGTAGATAAGACCGAAAGCTATACTCTTGATAGCACAAGAAACTCTTTAATTCGACAAGAGGATAGAATTATTTTCAGCCTTGTAGAGGAGGCTCAATTCTGTTATAATGCAGAGATATATGATCCCGAGGCTCTTGCCATGGATGGATTTGATGGCTCTGTTGGAAAATAAGGGATTGGAGAAGAAACAACAACAAAATTATAGAAACAAAATGAATAGAAATCACGAAATACGTCAAGAACGAATTTGAGGCTTGAACACGGGATCGTTGTCCTCAAACTATATTTGCCCCCTCTCAGAATTGAATGAGATGCTTAAGGGTTTTGGCAAATGGTTTGTAGGATTATATCAAGCGTTGTACAGGATTTAACACCAAAGAACAAGTGCAATCCTCCAAAACTTTAAGAACACAAAGGAAGATCTTGAATATGAATGTAAATCAATAGCTTGATTCAATATGAAATGATATATGGATCTCAAGATGTTTTCAATGATTCTAATAATATTTGTATTGATCATTCATCACTTATTTATAGGTCTCAATCAATGCATCACGAAATGGTGCCAAAACAAGATGAAAAGTGGCAACTTTTAGTCCAAAACGGCTCCCAAGTTTCAAATTGAAAAATCAGCCAACGACTATTTTTTTAACACTATGCGTACGCATAGTATAAACCGTGTGTACGTATAGTAGAAGCAAACTTTAATTCTTATTTTGCCAAAACATATCTCGCGTACGCACAAAATTAAGTATGTGCGTACGCATAGGCAAAAAATCAAATTTTACTTTTTTCAATTTCTTTTGATTCTACCAATTCCACAATTGAGCCCAACAATAAGCCCATTATCATTCCATTGATTTTAAACAAATTTTCAACAATCCCCCACTTGTTCAAAATCAATACGATCACATATTCAAAAAGACGACACTTATGTATAAGGATTAGATATCTTTTGATTTGAATCTAACCATAGTATAATTCAAAGAAAGTAAAGTCGGAATTAGAGGTAGCATAGAAGCTTTGAACCAATTCTTCCTTGTGACACTACCGGTAAGAACACACACATAAGTATCACGTGTTCTCAAGTTCCTCAACTCGCTTAGCGCTTTTATGGCCTTGCGCTCATCCTATTCGATGAACTTTTAAAAGAGAAACTCCAACTCTCTATTGAGACGGCACCACTTTGAAGTTCAATTAGGTGAACTTCTTCCAGTATCTTTTTTACTTTTAGAGATACTTATGTTTTAGCACTCAACTTCATTAAGAGTTTTAATACTCATCTCTCACTTCAGTAACAACCAGCATTATTTAATTAGGATAGGGTCATTGCGGATTTAAATAATGCTACAACTATCCACATATCGAATGACTTATTGTTACCCTTTGAACTCGTGGATTACCTTTTGAGTAATGATAGGTAGGGTTGCCGTCATTGGTGGACCTTTTTAATTAAGGAGTTTCAACTCCATCCTACTCGAAATAGACGCCACTAAATCTCTATTTAGTGCTTTAGTTAAAGGATCCGCTAAATTCTCAATTGACCTTACATAATTTAGAAAAATTATTCCATCTTTGATTAATTTCCTTATATAGTCATGTCTCAAACTCATATGTTTAGACTTTTCATTGTATACCTCGTTATATGATTTTGCTAACGTGGCTTGACTATCACACATGATAGGTATTGAAGAGATATTCTTCGATCCAAAAGGTATCTCATATAAGAGATCTTAGGCCACTCAGCCTCTTTCTCGATATCCAATAAAGCTACAAATTCAGATTCCATGGTCGAGTGTATTATACATGTTTGTTTCTTTAATTTCCAAGAAATAGCACCTCCTCCAAGAGTGAACACCCAACTCGATGTGTATTTGCTTTCACCCGTGCTAGATATCCAACTAGTATTGGTAAATCCTTTCAATATTGCTGGAAATTTAGTATATTGTAGGCCCAAGTTCTTGATTTTCTTTAAGTATCCAAGAACTCTCACAATAGCCTTCCAATAATCATTACTCGGATTGCTAGTAAACCTACTAAGTTTACTTATTGCATAAGCTATATCCGATCTTATGCATTGAACAGCATACATAAGACTCCCTATAGCACTTGCATATTCCAATTGAACAATCACTCTTCCATCATTCTTTATTAGTTTTGAACTTGGATCAATCGGGGTACTACATTCTTTTATGTTCAAATGTTTGAACTTATTTATCACATTCTCAATTTAATGTGATTGACTTAGATAGTAACCCCCACTAGTCTTTGTGACTTTGATACCTAAAATGGTATCCACTTGTCCAAGATCCTTCATCTTGAATATGGAAGAAAGAAACCTCTTTGTTTCTTCTATTCTGTCCATGTGATTACTCATAATTAGCATGTTGTCAACATACAAGCATATAAATGTTACATAATCATCACAAATTTTAGAATATAAACATTTATTAACGCTATTATGTTTAAACCCGAATGATATTATTGCTAAGTCAAACTTCTCATGCCATTTCTTTGGTGCTTGCTTCAGACCATATAAAGATTTCAACAACTTGCACACTTTATGTTCATTTTCAGGTAGGGCAAACCCTTCGGGTTGTTCCATATAGACCTCCTCATCTAGATCTCCATTTAGGAATGCCGTCTTGACATCCATTTGATGAATATGCAAGTCATATATTGAAGTCAAAGCGAATAATATCCTAATCGATGTTATTCTAGCTACTGGTGCATAAGTATCAAAATAGTCGATTCCTTCCTTTTGTCGATATTCTTTGGCTACTAATCTAGCCTTGAAAGTATTTAAGGATCCATTAACATTGTATTTTCTCCTAAATACCCATTTGCATCCAATAGGCTTGGATCCCGTTGGTAAATCAGCAAGTTCCCAAGTATTATTGAACATTATCAAATCAATTTCGTCCTTAATTGCATCTTTCCAAAAGGTGCTATCACGAGAAGCTATAGCTTCTTTATAAGTCCTAGGGTCGGTTTCTACTTGTAGAACAAAAGGAATTATTCTCACAACATTCAACTCATTTTCCTCTACTAAGTAAAAGGAGATAAGTTGATAATCGATTTGATTCGATCCCAAAGACTTATCAACTCGAATTCTCTTGCTTCTTCGTGGTTCACTAGATTCATCAACATCTTTAGAAGATATTTCATCATGTGTTCCACTTGAGCTAGGGATATTTTCAAGATTTTTCCTCAATTCATTATCCGAAGATAACGAATCCTCAAAGAACTCCACATCGTTGGATTCGATAATCACATTGGACTCCAAATTTAGTAATCTATAAGATTTGCTATTATTTTCATATCCAACAAAGGCACATTTAATGCCTCTTGGACCCAATTTGATCCTATTAGGATTCGTGTTCTTGCAATAGGCAAGACACCCCCACACTTTGAAATATCCAATGTTCAGTTTTCTTCCTTTCCACAATTCATAAGGAGAAACCTTAGTATATTTTGAAGGAATCCTATTAAGTATTCTACATGTACTTAATAAAGCTTCACTCCATAAGTTAAATGGCAATTTAGCATGAATAAGCATGACATTTATCATTTTTACAAATGCTCTATTTTTTCTTTCAGTCAAGCCATTTTGTTTGGGTGTTCTAGGTGCAGAACATTGATGAATAATTATATGTTGTTTACAAAACAAATTAAAATCATTGGAAAAGTATTCACCACCTCATCACTCCTTAAAATTTTAATTTTCTTTCATAGATAATTTTCAACCTCATTCTTGTATGTCTTAAACATGTCAAAGGCTTCACTTTTATGTTTTATCAAATAAACATATGTATATCTAGAAAAGTCATCTATAAAAGTTATGAAATATTTATTTCCACCTCTAGTTAACATACCATTAAGTTCACATAGATCAGTATGAATTAATTCTAAAATACTAGAGGTTCTCTTAACATTTTGATATGATTTTTTAATCATTTTAGATTCTACACATATTTTGCATTTGTGTTCATCATTTTCATCATTTGAGATCAAGTCACATTTTTCATGCGTTTCATTGTATTTCTACCAACATGACCTAATCTAGCATGCCATAATGAAGATAAATTCACAACATAAGCAAAATTACTTTTATTCATTTTATTGTCAACGATACATAATTTGACTATTCCTCCACACGAATAGCATTTTCCAACAAATTTCCCATTAAAGGATAGTACAAGTTTGTCGGACTCATAAACACATTCGATGCCCGATTTTCCCAAGAGATTGCCACTAACTAGATTCCTATTCATATCCGGAACATGTAGGACATTAGTTAGAGTAATGATTTTCCCAGAAGTTGAAGATAATGTCTACACTTCATTTTCCAAACACCTTAGACCGCATCTCGTTACCCATTTGAATCTCTTGTTCTCCATCCACTTCTTGATAAGTTTTGAACAAAAATTTATTATATGATACGTGTATCATAGCACAAGTATCATACCACCACCCGAGAACATTTCCTTTGATTGCGTTTACTTCACTTATGGTGACCACAATTTTGTCATCTTGGATGGAATTCACTTTAGCCTCGAAGTTATTTTGTTTTCGATGCCTACAATCCTTAGCATAGTGACCAGATTTTTCACACACAAAACAACCTCCTTTTGTCTTCTTCTTGGACTTGTTAAAGTTCCTAGAAGACTTCCTTTTGTTGAATTTTGCTGGCGATTCTATTTTTTCCATAGCATTTGCTTTAGAAGAGCCCTCATGAGAATTTTTAGTTTTATCACGTATTCTTGACTCCTCTTCGATTCGAAGATGCTTTTGCAATTATTCCAAAGAATAATCTTCGGAACTATGCATGATCTTATTCTGGTATCCTTTTCAAGTTCCGAGAAGTTTGATAATTATAGCCCCCACTTGAAAGGTCTCTGGTATATCAATTTTTACCGCCTTTAATTTGTAGATAATCACTTACAACTTATGCACTTGGGGAAGAAGAGGGATATTTTCTAAGAATTTAAAATCAAAATACTTAGAAATCAAAAATTTCTTTGTATCTTCTTCTTCCGCCTTGTACTTACTTTCCAATACTTCCCAGATTTCTTTCGTCGAAGTTGTATTGGTGTATAGATCATACAAACGATCCGACAATGCATTCAAGATGTGGCCACAGCAAATCAATTCATCTTCTTGGCATTTTTGTCTCTCGGTCTTGATTGCTTCGGATTCTCCATCCGTTGGTTCCGGCAAAGGCACCAAATCTGGATCAAGAATATAAAAAATCTTCAACGCCGTTAGGAAGAATTTCAACTTGTCTTGCCACCGCGTGAAGTTAGTTCCGTCAAAACGATCCAATCTAACCAGATCTTGATTCATGAGTTTGATGGTTGTCATAGTTGTATCATTCTCCATTGTAAAATATAGTTTGAGATTGTTGAAAAATAAGGGGTTGGAAAAGAAACAACAACAAAATTATAGAAACAAAATGAATAGAAATCATGAAATACGTCAAGAACGAATTTGAGGCTTGAACACGGGATCGTTGTCCTCAAACTATATTTGCCCCCTCTCGAAATTGAATGGGATGCCTAAAGGCTTTGGCAAATGGTTTGTAGGATTATATCAAACCTTGTACAGGATTTAACACCAAAGAACAAGTGCAATCCTCTAAAACTTTAAGAACACAAAGGAAGATCTTGAATATGAATGTAAATCAATAGTTTGATTCAATATGGAATGATATATGGGTCTCAAGATGTTTTCAATGATTCTAATAATGTTTATATTGATCATTCATCACCTATTTATAGGTTTCAATCAATGCATCACAAAATGGTGCCAAAATAAGATGAAAAGTGGCAACTTTTAGTCCAAAACGGCTCCCAAGTTTCAAATTAAAAAATTAGCCAACAGCTATTTTTTTAACACTATGCATACGCATAGTATAAACCGTGCGTACGCATAATAGAAGCAAACTTTAATTCTTATTTTGCCAAAACATATCTTGCGTACGCACAAAATTAAGCATGTGTGTACGCATAGGCAAAAAATCAAATTTTGCTTTTTTCAATTTCTTTTGATTCTACCAATTCCATAATTAAGCCCAACAATAAGTTCATTATCATTCCATTGATTTTGAACAAATTTTCAACGGGCTCTTCGACAGAGTACATGGTTAAAGAAATCGAAAAACTACACGCAAAGGTATGTAAATCCTCTTTCAAACTTTTCGATGGGTAAAATTTTTTATCCATTTTGTGACTTTTATTTGACGTACGTTGGAAGATACAAGAATCCAGACGAGCATCCATTCTTCCCAGATGATGTTCTTAAATCGATATTGCTCCTCTGCAATATCCATAGGTGACATGTCTACTTATATGCATCAGTAGTTCTAGTGCCATAGTCCAACAATTATATTATGTGATAAAATGGCAATTCTATTTTAGCGATCCAAACTCATAAAATGTCACTGGATTGAGAGGAAAAACGACAAAGAAGTATGTAAATTAGCATATTCACGTAAAAATTAAGATTTCCAAAACTTAAGATTCATTGTGTGATCGACACTTCTTGTTTTGTGCACATGTTTTTCTCTATCCTTGCCATTTTATATTTTTGATTGTCTTCTGAATTGTAATGTTTTTTGTTACTCGTACAGGTTCTGCATCCAGCTTCAGATTCAATCAATTTTAGTGACACAATATGGGATGCGTACTGCATAGATATTCTGCCTAGGTTAGTTAAAGAACGTGATGATGGTAACCACGAATCAGCTGCAGTTTGTGAAACAATATGCTTGCAGGTATACATTTTGACGAAACATTGATTGGCTGAAAAATGATTTGTATTCGTCAGAATAGGTAATGAATGTGAGGAGGTTGACATATTTTTGTTTCATATTCGCATTTTACCTTTTATTTTTGTTTCATCCTCTTGATTTGTTATTAGCTGTCCGTTGAATGATGTAAACTGTGTTGTCGTCTATACCTCTTACTCCACAGTTTGTTGCATCTGAAAATGTTATATATAACCGTGCATAAATGAAACACAACTTAAATTTCTATGGATTTAGATCATTGTGGTATTATGAAAATTTAAATCATTAACATTGATCGTTAAAATCCTATGTGCTGGCCTCTCAAAGAGAATTCACTACAGCACATTCATAGCCGAAGCAAAATTTCTATCCTCCCAGACAGGGACAGACTCAGACAGTTCGAACTGTGGGATCAAAAATGGAATTTTTTTCTAACAACATATCATGAACAAAAATGAGAAATCAGTGGTTTACTGTTCATGTTCGGTGTTTGCACTTTGAAAAAAAATCGGTAGATTATATGATATATCTATGGACTAACTAATAGATATGGATATAGATTTAGGATTTGGGCATTGGGCTAGAGAAAGTAATTGGGTTGGCTCACCAACTGGACATAAAATTAAGTTTTCAGCAGGAAGGAAAAAAAAAATTTCCAAAAAACTGTGAGGTCATTTGACCCCATGTGGGTCCGCCCCTGCTCCCAGATGTCTATGAAACTCTTATTGGACATTCCTGTTCCTCTCCATCATTTCTCCCCATGGAACATCGTTCAACCAGTATGACATTCTCCCTCCCTGTATGAAAAATATGATACATCCTTACTATCTTATAAGAATGGCAAGCTTTTGTTATCCGAGTGCTATATAATTATTGGTTGTTAATGAGGTATCTGAACGTCTTTTCCTATTTTCTGAAATCATGCCTTTACGGAATTTATGTACTATTTAATTGGTTGCTGCTCTAGCATTTGGATGTCATCATTTTTTTTTTCATTTATTTATTTAGCATCCCTTTACGGCTGCAGATGCTCTCTTGCAAGGGTGTGAACTTCATGGGTTATACCTAAAAGAACTTTGAAATGGTGAATGATCATGAAGTTCCTGGAATTGGTATTCTATTCTTACATTGACAAATTAGCTTCTGTACCTTTAGATTTTCACGTTTCATACCATAAGGTAGGGATGTCAACGAGCTGAGTCAAGCCGGCTCACGAGCCAAAACTTTTGGCTCGGGCTTTTCTAAGCGGGCTTTTTTTGCCCGAGTCGGGCCGAGCAGAAGCTCGATCAGAAATATAAGGCTCAACCCGAGCTTTCAGCTCGTGCTTTACCGAGCCGAGCTCGGTTTCTAGAATTTTTTTTCTATACTTATTGCTACCTGTTTGGCAGCTTATATTAGCTGCCAAACAGGCAGCTTGTTATAGCTGTCTTAACCGGTAGCTAGGCAGTTTAGATATTTTTAACTTTTTTTTTATATAATAAAATAATACAGCTCGAGCCGGCTCGAGCCAACCCTCAAAAATGAAGGTCGCTCCGAGCCTCGAGCCGACGAGCCCGATTGCCATCCCTACCATAGGGATTGTGATATTATTTTTTTTTCCTTATTTGAGTTTCTTTTAACTGAAATGAATAGTAGATCCCTTCTCATAGCGGCTATAAGGTCGTTGGGAATCACATTCACGTTTGATCGGAATAAAAAGTATTTGAAGTAGATATGTGACTAGATTTAGTTGAATGTAATAGAAATTTTATATATATATATTTTTTTTATGAATTTTATGTAATTGAAAGATGTCTACCAAGTTAATATAAGTTTCATAGAATGGTTATTAGAATAGTTGTGAAGTATTGATTGTTAGATCATTAAAGCAAAAAAAAAAAAAAAAATGTCCATAATGTGAATTCTCCTCATTTTATACCTTTACTATTTAACTCCACTAAATACGTTGTTACTGTTACTCACGTGCATCGCATGTGCCAATAACCGACGAGCCCGATTGCCATCCCTACCATAGGGATTGTGATATTATTTTTTTTTCCTTATTTGAGTTTCTTTTAACTGAAATGAATAGTAGATCCCTTCTCATAGCGGCTATAAGGTCGTTGGGAATCACATTCACGTTTGATCGGAATAAAAAGTATTTGAAGTAGATATGTGACTAGATTTAGTTGAATGTAATAGAAATTTTATATATATATATTTTTTTTATGAATTTTATGTAATTGAAAGATGTCTACCAAGTTAATATAAGTTTCATAGAATGGTTATTAGAATAGTTGTGAAGTATTGATTGTTAGATCATTAAAGCAAAAAAAAAAAAAAAATGTCCATAATGTGAATTCTCCTCATTTTATACCTTTACTATTTAACTCCACTAAATACGTTGTTACAAAAAGTCACGTGCATCGCATGTGCCAATAAGTAGAACGTGGTTAAAATTAGATGGGAAAAATTCACAAATAATGTAATATGGACAATTCAAAAATTAGGTTTTAAGTTTAAAAATGCATAAATCAGGATGAGCTAATTAATTAAAAATATTTATTAATTAAATATAATAAGATCATAGTTATACAATTATTGGTCACATGTACATAATTATAGCTCACAACTTATTTATTGGTAACATATTGTCAAATTAATTGATCACAGATTATTTCGAAGTTACAGATCAAAAATTTTATAAGTCAAAGTTTATTTCATTTGTTACAAAGCAAAAAAATTATAAGTGACATTTTATCTATCGGTCACATATTTTTAAAATTGTTGGTCACGAATTTTTTTTTAATCACAAATTATCGAATTTTAAGGTTACATTTTAATAGTTAGTCACAAAGAACCAAATAATTGGTCACATACACCCAAACACTCGATCCCAATCTTGATCCAACACCAATACTTGGTTATAAATCGACTAAATAGTTGGTCATAGACATTCTTCGTCCCATCCTGTCGCCATCGCCGCCACCTCCATTGCCACTGTCACTGTGACAACCACCACCACCAATAAAAATAACACAATGCCCTGCCACCAACATCACCACCTCACCACTATCACGATCGCCACTACTACTACCCAGATCTAACCCACACCACCGCCCTTTCCTCGCCCCCGCCACCATCACTACCACCAACTCACCATGTCCTCATCAACCAAGACTTTCCCTTCCACAGCCCCCATGGCAACCTGCATAAGAAGTCGCTATGACCGCGCTATGTTAGTCGCGGTCATCATGCAGAGGAGATAGCAGTGAAGCGCTGCCGCACAACGACCCTCGAAAGAGATTGCAGTAAGCGCCACTCACTGCTCGATGGCCATGTGGGAGAGATGATGGAGTCGATGGCGGCTACGGCTGCGGGTGTAGAAATTTTTTTGGTTGGTGTGATGGTTGTAGTGTATCGAGATTGTGAGGTGGTTGAGTGTGATGTTGGCGGCGTGGTGATGGTGACGACAGCCAGAGAGAGGAGCGAAGATAGAGAGAATTTGAATTTTAGGATTTAGATTTGGGGTTGATATTTATATTAATATTATTAGTTAAATCAATACCCAAATTTTGAATAAAAAACCTTTCCACCAGATTTTTGCATTGTGATCTTGAAATGTGTGGAAACTCGTAATTTCCTCAAATTAGATTATCTGATATAAAACCCCATTTACGAGTGGACTGCTTGAAATAATTACAGAGTTAGTGAGGCTACACAATTGGAAATTACAAACATTTTTTTATTTTTTGTAAACGAATATTAATGCAGAAGACATATATCTTGATTTTTCCATGTAAATCAAAATGTTTGACTGGTTTTGATCTGATTTTGACAATATTGGTAAAAGACAATAGAAATTAAAGCCAAAAACTTGTCACCTTGCTTATTACAACTAATGTGAAGCACGTGCAATCCATGTGTGCTCTTTGTAATTATGTATTTAATAGAGTTAAGTTGTTCGTGTAATTTTTAATTTGTCAATATTGAGATAAAACATGTGAAGAGATGGAAGAAATTAGTTTTGAGGAAATATAATACAAGATGAAATAATTAAATTGGAATCCGAAAAATTAACAAATAAGATTGAAGCAGTATTGTTTGGTATTGTATGAAAAAATTTCATACCATCAACAAATTAAAATAGAAGAATATTTACATATTTTGGGAGCGTATCATAAGAATAATATCAAATTTTTCTAAAATCAAATTTTTAATAGTTTGAATTTGAGATGACTCTCGTATTTACTAAGCTCTCGATAATTTTAAAATTAATGCATTTAATAATTAATTTGATAGCATAAAATAATTTCGTCAAGTTCAAAATATTTGATAATTATTTTGAAATTGTTCCGCGTTCAATTTCATACGGATCATAGCAAAAGAAAATTGTAGCCACTTAAAATTTTCGCAATTAATGAAAGACGTCATATATGGTTAAAATTAAATGATCTAATATAAAAGCCCGTCGATGAGTTGTCCGTCCAAAATAAATACATAATTACCGAGGGTACAATTAGAGATTACAAGCTTTTCTGTTTTTTTACACGAAGACTAACACCCAAGGCATATATCTTGATTTTTCCATGTAAATTAAGGCCCCGTTTGATTGCACGAAATTTTCCATAGAACTTGGAATTCGAATTCTAACTTCCACTTTTGGCCTGTTTGATTGACAAAATTTTCCAGGGAATTGATTTTCCATGAATTTCTAGGTACAACACCTTAAAGCGTGATTTTCCACCTTTTTTTTCCTAGGGGATAGGTGGTTTTTGGTTTTCCACCTTTTTTTTTTCTTTTTTTTTTGCTTTTTTTATTTTTTTTTTAATTGTTGGCAATGGGAACAAATTTTAGGAATAATTGTAAAAGAGGATATCCCTGAAATTGACAATTTCCACGTAAAACAAAGTCAAACGAACATCAAAAAATACTTTTACTTCAACATTTTCCACGTGAAAAATTTATACAATCAAACACAATAATTTACAATTTCCATGAAAACAATTTCTAGGTAATTCAATTCCTTAGAATTCATTTTCTTTCCATGTAATTTTCCTACTTGTAATCAAACGCACCCTAAATGTTTGATACGTTCTATCCAATTTTAATATTATTGTTAAAGAGGCAATGAAAATTAAGGACAAAAAACTCGTCACCCTGCTTAATATTAATAGTGTGACGCACGTGAAATGAAGGTGCGTTTTTTGTAATTATGTATTTAATAGAGTAAAAATGCTCACATAATTTTTAATGCGTCAACATTGAGATAAAACATTGAAGAACAATGTTCAGTGTACAGAGCAATGTTCTACAGAGGACTTACAGGCCCCTTCACTATAGCTGGCAAGTCGGTGGGATCGACCTGCATTAAAAAAAAAATTGTGCGGGCCCCACCCTTATATGTGCCCTAGCCGAACCCTGTGAAATGCCCCCCTGTAAGTGAAGCATCGCCCAACATTGAAAAGGTGAAAGAAATTTGTTTTGAGAAAATATAGTACAAGATGAAATAATTAAATTGGAATCCGAAAAATAAATAAATAAGATTGAAAGAATGATTGGTAATATTCGAAAATTTTTCCATACCATCTACAAATAATAATAGAAGATTATTTACATATTTTTAGATGGTTTTCGTAAGAAGAATATCCAATCTCTAAAATCAAATTTTTAATAGTTTGAATTTGAGATGAACTTAAATTCTCGTCTTCACTAAGCGCTTGATAATTTTACAAGTAATGCATCTAAGAAATAATTGTATAGCATAAAATAATTTAATTCAACTTTTATTGTTGCGACTTCGTGAAATTTGAAATATCTTATAATTAATTTAAAATTGTTCAGCATTCAATTCCACATATACTAGACTCATTTAAAGTTTCGTGTTAATGAAAATAGAGTTTTATCTTCTTCTTTTTCACTTATTAAATTTGAAATATCTTATAATTAATTTAAAATTGTTCGGCATTCAATTCCATATATACTCGACTCATTTAAAGTTTTGTGTTAATGAAATTAGAGTTTTGTCTTCTTCATTTTTTTTTTCATTTATTAAATTTGAAATATCTTATAATTAATTTAAAATTGTTCAGCATTCAATTCCATATATACTCGGCTCATTTAAAGTTTTGTGTTACTGAAAATAAAGTTCCATTTTTTTTTCATTTATTAAGCACATCATCAATGATTAAGATTAATTATTTTTCAAGTTGACTGCTCGAATTAATTACATAATTATTGAGGATAAATGGTTGATGATTGTTGCATATTTTGTTCCGTTACACATAGACTAATGCACACGATATTTTATCGTATGATTATTATTTTTTCTATTAGAATCGAAATGTCATATTGATTTTGACAACATTGATAAAATGCAATGAAAAATTGAAAGAAAACCTAAAAATAAAAATAAAAACTTGTCACCCTCGCTTATTGCAAGTTCGAACATTAGAATTCACATATATAATGCACACATATTTAAAACGGCTTCCTATGTCTGCCGGTCAATGTTCCCAGTGCTGCCCAACTGTGAAGGCCTATTTTTTACCGGCGAATGCCTTCGCCTTGTTCGCAACGCCTGCTGCCACGTGTTGCGTGTATTCTTTTCAGTCTTTGCTTTATAAACATGGACAATTCTCATTTACTTCTTTTCACATTTCAGTTTCAATAAAAATTTGAAGAGAGATAGTGTGAGAGATGGAACTCGGAGGAGGAAATGGAGGCTTCCATGGCTACCGCAGGGCGTTGCCACAGAATAGCTCCGGCGGTAAAGCTTAAATTTAGGGTTTATATATGTCCTTAAATCTGCTTACTATTCCCTTGTTGGCTTATACACAGCATGTGCTCCATTCTTTGTGGGTGCGTATGTTTAAGTGTACAAAATATACACACAGAGACAGGCAACAGAGAGAGAGAGAGATGGAAACATACCTTTTCATACTTCTTTTGATTAAGGTCTTTCTCTCAAGAACTTTAAGGCATTCTTGTGTTAACTATGTGTAATTAGTCTTCTTTTCCGTATAATTAGTGTTGCTTGTCTTTTGAACTCTCTCTCTCTCTCTCTCTCACACACACACACACACACACACACACACAGAGACATACAGTTCGTTCTAGTTTATAGGGCATGGCTTTGGTATTTATTTATTTATTTTCCCTTTCTTTCTCCGGCTCTATGGTCTTATTGTTCATCATCTTCTTATTCCTCTTTCTTTCTAGACTTCAAGTGCACTTCACTTGTCAACCCCACCCGACCTGGAAAAAGAACTCTCTCTCTCTCTCTCTCTCTCTCTCACACACACACACACACATACAGTGTTAACTTCTTTATGAAGATGATTCATTAGAAACGACGGGTATCCTATAACATTAGCTATGAATTTTGCAAATGGCTGATGGAATTGTAGAAGATAAACCGATACCAAGTGGCATGCATGCTGTGTTTGACCCAAAGTAGTATATTAACATATGTCACTCATGCATTCTCAGCCACAATATTAAAACCAGGCTTATTTTGCACTAGATTTGCATCTGCAAATTACCAGAGATGTTTTGTTCCCTCTCCAGGGCATGTTTCTCTGTTCTTATACCAAAATTTTTTGCAAAATAAGCAACACTTGTTCTTAATACCTGCAGCAAGTTCCAACACCTGTCTGAGGAGATTTGGTTAAAATCAAATCTATAAATACAAAATGTGCATTGAGTAGTAAAAAAGCTTGACTGATTTTTTATTTTTTTTTTTTTTCCCTCGCGGTGAGGATTCACAGGAAGGTTTATAATTGACTACGTGACAAAATTATAGTGACTAACATCAAGAATTTTAGCAGTTTCTGCTGCTTTCATTTGCTTTTCAACAATATTTGTCTTCTACTCATTTGCTACAATTGGAGTCAAATGAACAAAATAAAAGGGACCACTTTCAGTGTGGGCTATTGACTATTGTCTTTTTCTATTTGTTTTGATGGGCCAATTGGACTGAAAGTCTTGGACAACTGTTTTCAAGCCAACATTTATTTTGGCCCATGGGCCGATAGACTCAGGACAAACCATTTCATACAATGTAGGAATTGTTTGGACTAAATGGGTAGAAACTTGATAACTGCATCTGAATATTAATGCATAGGTACAAAAGCATCAGAGCTGCCTCAGATGAACCAGACCACCAACACCACTGATGACACTGAATGTACTGTTCGGGAGCAAGATCGCTTCATGCCAATAGCGAACGTCATCAGAATCATGCGCAGAATACTCCCTCAACATGCAAAAATATCGGACGATGCTAAGGAAACCATCCAAGAGTGTGTTTCTGAATTCATTGGGTTCATAACTAGCGAAGCCAATGATCGTTGCCAGAGAGAGCAACGCAAGACCATCACTGCTGAAGATGTTCTTTGGGCCATGAGCAAGCTAGGATTTGATGACTACATTGAGCCACTGACTCTGTACCTGCATCGTTACCGGGAGTATGATGGTGGTGAACGTGGCTCGTTGACTGGTGAGCCACTGGTCAAGAGGGCTGTCGACCCAGGCTCTTATGGGTACGTGACGTTTCCACCGGTGCCCTTTTCAATGGCTCCTCACCATGGATTCTTTGGAACTCCTCCAATGAATGGTTTCCTCAAGGATCCATCAAATGCAGGTCCATCCCAGGCTTCTGTGGCTGGCATTGATCCCTCTACCGCTACCCACAGTAAGAAGCAGGTTTAGAATTTGCTAAGAGAAGGGGGGTAGTAAAAGAAAAAACAAAAACCTTGGATCTTATGTAATGGATTCTTATAAGTATTCAGTTTCAGTGTTAGGTAAAACAAAAGCTAGCCCCTGCTGCTAGCCACCTTTGAGTACTAATGAGCAGCAATGGTTGTTTATGATTTCATTGCTTCTTTTTCCTCTACAAATTAAGCACCTTTATTGTGCAGAATAAAATCAGATTTTTAGTAAAATTTCACAAAAATTGATAAAATGTTTGGTTAAAGACAAGATTTAGAGTTGAGATTTTTATCAAATTTTAATTTATATCAAACAGGGTCTAAGAGTATTTCTTAGGAAAGATTGCATCATTGGTCCCGGACCTTTAAATATAGCAAGTTGTTCCTCCACCTTAGCTATACAATCAATCCTAATGACAAGAACCACCCGAATAAATAATTTTAGCTATACAATCAATCCATTTTTTGTTGAAAATAATTTTAGTGAATTTTTGGAGAATGTATTGTTAACATATAGAAAAAAGTTTGGATTTATATGCAAAATGTTTGTGAGAATGGTTGTTTGAAAAAAAAAAAAAAAGAAAAATAAGTTGGGATCAGTGGTGCAATTTTCCATATTATGTTATTATTGTTATTATAATTAGTTTTTAAAAAGAGCAACCTCCCCAAATTGAAAATGTTTGTTTATGTGACTGAAGAACCAATTTCAGACAAGTTGAACAAATTCTGTATAAAATTTGTAGTTCCAATCAAAGCTGGAACTGTGAAAGAAAAGCAAAGATAAAGAAGGTATTTGTACTCCAAATGCACTTCAGAGAATATAGAATAAGGTCAAACACGAAATATTAAGCACCTTCAAAATTTTGCCATGTGGAGAAATCTTTGCTCAAGATAAAGGTGTGAAAAATATGAGGAAAAACATTCTCCTCAGATTACAATTCTGTCTCACATACCAGAAATCAAAAACATGAATTAGTGAGGAACCAAGTTTTCTTCTCCCCTAGATATAAGTATTGAGTCAAAATCTAGCAAACCGGTCTCTCTTTATGGTAAGCGCCTTCTGGATTTTGGTGTCACATATCATGCGCTTGAACTGCTTACTTCTCAATATCAAAAAGGGAAGGACAAATTGATTCATAATAAGATACACTAACCATTTCTAAGTTTCAATGCATCGCCTTTTTATCTTTAGATCATCTTTATTTTCAACATCTTCACCTTCTATGATTCCAATCTCTTTTGCATCTTTCTCTTCACCACTATCATTCCCTTCTATCTCTCCATCACAGTCTCCCAAGTCAGCATCACATCTTTTCCTTTGAGGAATGACTCGAAAGAATGAATTCTTCCAATCTTTTGCTTCCAAGAACTTGAGGATTATCTCGACTACTTGATTCACTGTAAGGACCTGTACTTGAATGAAAAATATTCCTTCAGAAGGGGAATAATATTTGACTTGATGCACACCAAATTGGAATTGACAAGAAGAATACAAAGTGAGAAAAACTAATTAAAGAAAATCTGAAGGGGAAAAAATTTAATCATTTTATTGCCAATCATTAGCTTTGATGAACAAAAATATTAATCATTTCAACTTCTAAGTTCACCAAACATGCACCAAAAATAAGCAGACTATTGCAAGCTATATTTGCACATGCAACATTCTTTTGTTAAACGAAAGCACTCTAGATAGAAACCAATAAATATTGCCAAATTAAGAAAAGTAAAACCAAACAAACCTGAGAACTAGACATCTTCAGATAATCCCCTATTGGGAGTTTTGCAGTTTGAATCCCTTGCTCTTCTGCTTTCTTCATAGTTATTCCTTTCCACCTGTTCCGATCCACCAACCCACCAATGATATATAATGCCTTTGGATCCAGTTCATTCAGCACATTTTCAGAATCCGCTGTGAGATATACTAACTTTTCTTTCTGATCTTGAAATGCTTCAATATAAGACCGATCCTCCTTCTCAATTACCCATTTATCATATCCAGGGAGTCGCTGGAGATGATTTTGCATTTCTCCAACACAGCTGGTCAACCAAAGATGGGCCGGAGAAGCACATCTGCTGTTTTCGGCATAACAATACATAATCTGCAAGTTCCATCTATTGGAATTAGCTTCCTCTTGAATATGTGCCCGAAAATCAACACAGCTTAGCTTCTATCGAAAAGAAACTATCACCAAAATCATAATATACTATCCAAATAACATTAAATTGGATCCAAGGATGAGACCAACAAAGGCAACAGGAATGGACCAGAACAGATATGCAATGAGTTGACCTCTACGAATAATGTTATTCATAGTGAAGACTATCGGTAATCGTGGTAATCACCTCATGTGACAATACATGTGGCAATTTGTTATTTGATGCATTTAATGTGATAATTTTTTTTATCGTCTCGTGTATCAAATAACAAACTGCCACATATATGCCGCAGCACTCTACTCTAAAAGACTAAAACAGACCATATAAATTGCACATAAGGTTAGGTCCAACTTTCGAAAACTTTGAAGGCAAATTCCAATTATTGGATTAATTTATATGCACGAAATTTCTCTATACAGTATTACACTCCACACCCGGTGTTAGATGACCATATATATTTGAAATTTTCTCTATACAGCTTCAAACAATTGCAAAATGACAATTATGCAATTTTTCCAAGAACGTGCCCTAATTCAACCATCAGTTCTCTGGTAAAATTATGAATTTCGAAACTGGTATTTCATATAGTCTTGGAGTCTACGCTTCAATTGACACATCGGTTCGATAAGTTCCAGAGTCTTTCAGTAAATTATTGTGCACAGATTTTAAAAGAAAACTGCATCCAGTTCATTAAAATTATTGATTTAAATTCTGACATTTATTCTTTTCTATTTTTGAAAATTCGTAGAATGCCATTTCTTTAATGTCATTATAATCTTCTTTCAACTAGAATACGGAGCAAGTCCACATTCAGGATCGCATATACATTTAAACACTAATTTCCCCCAAAAATAAGAAGAAGAGAAACGACCTGTTGAACGAGGCTATTGAGCTCAGAAGAGTTCATCAGATGCATGAATTCGAGATCAATAACAACATTCTGGCCATTACTTTTCGCTTCGTTGAGTTTCTCGATTTTCCTTTCCCTTTCTTCTGACCGCTTTTCCATTCGTTCTTTCCGCAGCTCTTTTCTTTCCTCGATCAGCTTTTCCCTTTCCTCCTGGCTCAAACTCGCCAATTTCTCATCCCATTCTTTTCTCTTTCGCTCGACCTCTCTCTTCTTCTGCTCTTTCTCAAAGGCCTTTTTCTCCGCCTTCTTCGCTTCGTATCTCTGCTGCTTCAGGAGCTTCTTCTTAGCGTTCTTGGACATGGGTTGCGGCTCAGTTTGCTCCGTCTCCATTGCTTTTTCCATTTGCTATGGTACTGTAACCGTATCGTCTCTCTCTCTCGGACTTTGAATATGGTATTTAATTAGTGAAAATTGGGTGAAAAGCCTGTTTAATGATATATAGGCCTTCACCAGAATAAAAGTTTTAAAATAAAAATTTTAAATTAATATTAACAAATTATCTGAAGGGAGATGCTAGATGTACATAATTTGGGATACATAACGGTGTCCTCCCACTCACATGGGTGGGGTCCACTTAATTCGAGTGGACCCCACCCATGTGAGTGGGAGGACACCGTTATGTACCCCAAATTATGTACAATAGTCTTTATCCTTATCTGAATTACCCTCGTTCATTCAACATAAAAAAATTTCTCCTTCCCTTTCCCAAATCCATCTCTTCTCTGGAACGTAGAAACTCTTCTAGCCAACCATTGTTTCTTTTTCTTCCTATTTTTAAAAGCTATACTTCTTTATCTTTTTCATCTAAATAAGATGAAACTTGTATGTAATTATTCTTCAATTTCAAATACTACCATCATCTCGAGCAACTTCGTCGCGAACAACCATCGTTGCGAACGACCTTTTCAAGTAAGCAATTTCTCAATTACATTTGTCACTTGCATCGACTAACAGGTAATTTCCCTTGCACATTGTTGCTCATTTTTCTGATCATAATATAATGCTCTGAGAAATTTATTGCATTTTGAGTTTGTATGTTGTGATTCGAAGAAACTATATTGAAGGGAGCTATGACCTATTTGTTGAAATTCCCAAGTGATTGGTGGAACTTTGTTAATCTTTTTTCTTCGTAATCTTTTCTATTGGGTTACTAGAATTGATAATAAATATGTTGTTGTGACTCAGAATCAATAAAAAATAGTTGTGGGGATGATGTGCAAATGGCGTGGTATCTTTGAAGGAAATGCACAGATTGTTTGCACACAAAGTAGGAAAAGATTATTCTTTAGGACGTGACTTAGCCATACAAACGACCAAAAGCATTCACCCCTCTTGTCACTATTTATGTAATTGTCTTTTACACTGGAGTCATTGGCGCTGTTATTATTAAGCAACTCTATAAGTTATGTTTCACCTCTTGTTCCATTTGGCTTGTTCACTTGGCTCAATGAAATTAAATTTTAATTAGTTGTTTAATTTTGTTGTAATAAAACAAAAGTATTTTGAAAATTTGATTGATTCATTCATTCACTAAGCCATTTTAAGGTGGTTCATATTTGTTGGTGCGAACTTTAGCTTAATTTCCTAAACATAAGATCGATGTTGATTTTAGCTTTTGATTTGAGGGCCTATACACAATCTTTTTTTTCTATTGTGTTCCCTTATTTGAAAATTTACTTCTGCAGGAATATGCATTTAGTCAGTAAATAGATGACAGTTATCTCTTGCACTTGGTAGTTGATACCAAGGGATCCACTTCCATTATCATCAAGTGGGAACTTTTTTTTTTCTTTTCCTTCAACAGCACAGTGTAATATTTAGCGATTTTTTTATTTTATCACCTGAAAGCCATGTCTTGCAATATCGAATGGCTTACGTGCTTTGGTATAATCTAATGACAATAATCGTGTTTAATTACAAAATAAAGCAACTTTTGACTAGATGTATTCAAGGCCAATGAAAGTAATGCTAAGGATGTCATGTTGTTTTAATTGATTCTACAAATTAGAGGTGTTAATAGTTCATATGCTAAAATAAAGATATAAGGAAATTCTCTGCCTTGCCTGTGACTCATGTCTGATCAACAATGTACTAGTAAACGACTTAAATCATAGTTTTCATTTCACACAACATTTCATTGGTCAACTATTTCATTGGTTTGTAGATTTGTAGATAGGTATTTTCTATATTTTTGAAGTTAGGTAATTTTCTGTTAAACCTAGTAGTACACCTATTGCTAAATCATTCTTTCTTGCTTTTGACATTTATTTTTGGTTAAATTTAGTGCTAGGTGCTTCAATAGTAGCTTATTCAAAGTTTAAACGGGAATATCTTGAAGATGTTGCTTTAGAACTATTTTACTTCATCTTATCTTATCTGTGCTGGTGTTGCTATTCTTTAAAATATTCTGTTATCTAAAATTTTAGTCCGATGATGCAGAAGTTGATTAAAACATTAAGCATATCGGTGAGAATGTTCGTTTATGTTTACTCTGGCCAGCATATTTATGACAATATTATCTAGTAGTATTCAACTTACACAGGCAAAGATATCAAGAAACGGAAGCTCAAATTTTTAAGGAAACACGTTGGATTGGTCCAACAAGAGCCGACTTTTTTGGCCACATTAATCCGAAAACATTCCTATGGCTAAGAGGGAGCCACAAAAGGAGATTATAGAAGCAGCGAAGCTCACTAATGCACATAGTTTCATCAATGCCCTTCCGGAGGACTATTCGAGTGAAAATGGACACGATATTAGTAGATACAACACCCATACGTTTAAAATTACTATATATCGTTTTGGATCACGAGGTCTCGATTTCACTCTAAACTAGTAAATGAATGTTTGGAACGTGATAGAAGACTTGTATTTTTGAACGAATAGATGTAATATACTTTTCGTTTGTTGTCAAGTGTGGTGTAATTTCCAAACAAATATATAATTTGATTCACTATCGTTTGAACTTTTTGTAGATCGTGACATCAAAATCTAGTCAAAATTCTCATCCTTACACTTTCAAGTGCTAATGAGTGAAAATGAAGAGAAATGAACACGAAACTAGTATAAATGATACACGTACGTTTAAAACAATTACATATCATTTTGGGCAATAGAATCTCAATTTCACATTTGTGTGAACAATATATTCAACGTATTGTTTAAATTTTCACGTGCCATTTTAGATAGTAGATTGATTTCAGTTTCAAAATGTTTTATGTTTTATATACTCTAAACGGTTTCTATATACCCTAGACGACAGTTGTACTTGTAAAATGATCACATGTCGTTCTAAGTAATAGGGTTCAAATTTTACTTATAAATGTTGAATGATTATATATTCGATATTTTTTATATCCTATACCCTAAATGGCACCCCTACGAGTAAAACGACAATATGCCATTTTGAGTAAAAAAGTCCTGATTTCACTCTAAAACTAGTAAATTAATGTTTGGAATATCATCCAATACTATAAATGCAACCATAGATTTAAACCACATACCCAAAACCCTATACCCTAAGCTCGAAACCCTAAACCCTAAATGACAACCATACGTTTTCCCGCTTTTCATTATATAAAATAAACCACACTAGTGGTATTTGCTTAAAAAAAAAAAAAAAAAAAAAAATGACAACCATACGTTTAAAATGACCAGATGTTGTTTTGGGTCATGAGATATCAATTTCAGTCCGAAATTAGTAAAACATTATTTGAAACATCATACATGACTTGTACACATTGAACGACTACACGTACTATATTTTGCATACCACACTTTCTACTTACATTTTTTTATTGTCAAGTGTAATGTAGTGTAGTTTTCATCCTAATTATAATGGGATTCGCTATAGTTTGAATCAATGTGTCGACGAAAGATAGTTAAAACTTTCATCCTTAAACTTTCAAGTGGTTACGGGCATGAATAAATCGAAATAAACACGAAATGAGTAAAAATATCACTCATACATTTAAAACAACCAAACACCTTGTTGTGTCACGGGGTATCAATTTCACTCCAAAATTAGTAAAATAGTATTTGAAACATTATACATGTCTTGTACACATTGAACAACTACACATGCTATGTTTGCATACCATACTTGCGACTTACATTTTTCTTTATTGTGAAGGTGTAGTGTAGTATAGTTTCTAACCGACTATAGAATGACTAGCTATAGTTTGAACCAATGTGTAGACGAAATGTAGTTAAAACTTTCATCATTAAACTTTCAAATTGTTACAGACATGAATAAACCAAAACGAACACGAAATGAGTAGAAACGTCACTCATTCATTTAAAATGATCGGATGCCTTTTCGAGTCACGAGGTATCGATTTCACTCCGAAACTAGTAAAATAATGTTTGAAATATTATACATGACTTGTACACATTGAACGACTGCATGTGTTATGTGTTGCATACCACACTTGCTACTTACGTTTTTCTTTATTGTCACGTGTAGTATAGTGCAGTTTTCAACCGGATTATAGAGTGACTTGCTATAATTCGAATCAATGTGTTGATGATAACGTACTTTTACAAGCTAAACAAAATAATTTATTGAGTATTTTAACTCATAATAAAATATAACGAAATTGGAGTTCCTTATCTTCGTTCGCAATAAAGTCTATTGTAATTTTCTTATGAAATAATATTGTTGGTCACTATCACGTGAACTTTATATCGATACTCAGGTCCAAATGTAATGAAAACTTTCATTCGCTCATTGTCATGTGCATACAAGTGAAAATAAAGTGAAGCGGATATGAAATTAGTTGAAATGACACCCAATAATTTAAAACGGTAGCGTTTTAGATTACGGGTTCTTGATATTCAAATGTAATAAAAATTTGAATTCATTCATTTTATAAGGATACGAGTGAACATAAGGTGAAATGAATACAAAAATAGTTGAAAACGACACCTAATGTTTTTATTGATATCGTGTCGTTTTAAGTCACGGGCCTTGATTTCACTCTAAAATGAGTCGATAAGACTTGGAACATTTTAGACGACTTATACAAATAAAACGAGCCAACTTGTTGAATATCTTATCTCATGATTAGAATATAATGAAATTTACTTACTTTCGTTCATAGTTAAATCTAATACAGTTTACTCATGGAATAATAGCGTTGTTCATTATTGCGTGAACTTTATGCCGATACTCGGGACAAATATAATGAAAACTTCCATTCGTTCATTTTCATGTGCATACGAGTGAGAATAAAGTGAAGCGAATACGAAATTAGTAGAAACGGCACCCAATCATTTAAAATGACATCATGGCATTTTGGATTATAGGGTCTCGATTTCACTCTAAAACGAATCGATCATGTCTTGGAACATCAGATAAAACCTATACAATTTAAACGAGCTATTTTTT